TCCACTTTAGGATGGCCTATCCACCTGGCTCGTGGCCTCGGTGCTGATCCTAGTCTGGGCGCTCATCCATGGCCACCAGCTGGCAGCCTCGGCTGCTTGGGTTTCCTCACAGCATGGCGGCTGTGGGCCAAACACACGTGTTTCCGGAGACAGAAAGTTGAAGCTCTTTGTCCCTTAAGGTCTCAGCCTAGAAAATGCTAGGGTGTCATTTCTGCTGTGTTCTGTTGGCCAAAGCAGTCACAGAGCCTGCCCAGATGTCAGCAGTTGGGGTTAGATGCTGCCTCTGAACAGGGCAAGCAGCAAAGAACTCAGAGACCTTAAAGAAGGCACTGCCCTCTTACTGACACACGCTCAGATTTCCAGGCAAACGAAGCCCACCATGTGATTTGTTACTCCTGGGTGACAAAGGACGAGACGGGCCCAGAGCAAGTAAGTCACGTATATCCACCCTCACTCACCAGGGTTCACCTCAGCTGTCTTTTAGCCCTGGTTGGCTCTCTTGGGTATTCAGCCTATTGAAAATATTTCTTAGGTTTTCGGAAACAAACAATAAGAGACCTGCCCTCCTTCTAAGCTTAGCAACACCCAGAAGAGGAGTTTAGGAAAATAGCTCAGGTCCCAGGAAGGCATGAGCCAGACGGGCCTGTCTGTGGGTGGTAGACGGGCTCTGATTAGAAACGTGGATGCTCTGTAGCTTTTCTTTTTCTTTATGGCGTCTTGTGAAAGAAATAATGATAATAACAATTCTAATGAAATGCAACTAATTTTATTTATCTGTGGGCTTGTGGTGTTGTAAAGAAGGGATCTTTCCTCAGGTTTTCCCCACGGAGGACGATATTCGCTGTGGGTCTTCCATAGATGGCCTTTATGATATTGAAGTATGTTCCCTCTATCCCTACATGGTGGAGAGTTTTTGTCAAGAAAGGATGCCGTATTTTGTCAAATGCTTTTTCTGCATCAATTGAGAGGATCACATGGTTCTTGGTCTTTCTTTTATTAATGTATTATATCACATTGATTGATTTGCAGATGTTGAACCAAACTTGCAGCCCAGGGAATAAATCCCACCTGGTCGTGGTGAATAATCCTTTTAATGTACTATTGGATCCTATTGGCTAGTATCTCGGTGAGAATTTTTGCATCCATGTTCATCAGGGATATTGATCTGTAATTCTCCTTTTTAGTGGGGTCTTTGGTTTTGGGATGAAGGTAATACTGGTCTCATAGAATGAGTTTGGAAATTTCCTTCCATTTCTATTTTTGAAACAGTTTCAGAAGAATAGGTATTAATTCTTTTTTAAATGTTTCGTAAAATTCCGCTGGGAAGCCATCTGGCCCTGCACTCTTGTTTGTTGGGAGATTTTTGATGACTGCTTTAATTTCCTTGCTGATTATGGGTCTGTTCTTCCTGTTTCAGTTTTGGTAGTTTATATGTCTCTAGGAACATATCCATTTCTTCCAGATTGCCTAATTAGTTGGCATATAATTGCTCATGATATCGCTTCTAATTGTTTGTATTTCTTCGACACAAGGTCACAAAGAATTATACCTCTGTTTTTTTCTAATAGTTGTATACATTTAGCTCTTACGTTTAGGTTTTAGTCCATTTGGGAATTATACATGGTGTGAGGTAAGGTCTAATTTCATTCTTTTGCATTTGGAGGAATAGTTGTCCAGTGACATTTGCTGGAAAGACTATGCTTTCCCCGTTAAGGTTCTTGGCACCTTTGCAAAAGTCAGTTGGTCACAGATACAGGGGTTTATTTCTGGATTCTTTTTTTAAGATTTTATTTATTTACTTGAGAGAGAGAGAGAGAGAGAGAGAGAGAGAGAGAGAGAGAGCGCGCACCAGCAGGGGGAGCAGCAGAGGGAGAGAGGGAGAAACAGATCAGAGGGAGAAACAGACTCCCTGCCGATCAGGGAGCCTGATGCAGGACTTGATCCCAGCACCCTGAGATCATGACCTGAGCCAAAGACAGCCGCTTACCTGACTGAGCCCCCCAGGTGCCCCTATTTCTGGATTCTTAATTCTAATTCCCTGTTTGATATGTCTATCCTTAGGCCAGTACCACAGTCTCTTGATTTTTATAGCTTTATAGTAACTTAAAATTAGGAAATGAGAGTTCTCCAAATTTGTTCTTTTTCAAAATTATTTTAGCTAGTCTGGGTTCTTTGCATTTCCAAGAAATAATATTTACCAACTAGAGTATATTGCTTATGTACAGTTCCTTTTGTCTTTAGATACCTACTTTCCAGTGAAAACCCTACTTTCCAAAAGTTTCTCCCCTCCCCCTCCGCCCTTCCTCTGGAACGAATTTTGCATATATTTGTAATACAGCCTGTTTCATCAGCCGTGGTCTGATTTCCATTCTGATACCCCATAGCATCCAGCTGATGTTTCAAATTAACTTTCAATCACCCTCTCCTTCCCCAACCAATGGCAATGATTAATACGCTTTCCTTTTCCCAAATACCATATGAATGGAATCATACAATATATAGCCCTCTGTGGCTGCATGACTCAATACTTTGATCGTTTAATCACATACACCACACTGTGCTTTAACCATTTCCCTGTTATACTTCCCTCCAAGATATTAGCAATTACAAATAAAGCTGCTATGCTATAAACATTCAAGGAGAGTTTTGTACTAATTTAAGCTTCAGTTCGCTTGTGTAAATACCTAAGAGTTCAGTTGTTGTGTTATATGGTAAGTTTATACAAAATTTCCAAACTGTCTTTCAAAGTGACAACATCATTTTGCATTTCCCTGCATTTTTTTTTAAAGATTTTTATTTATTTTTTGACACAGGAGAGAGAGAGACAGCGAGAGAGGGAACACCAGCAGGGGGAGTGGGAGAGGGAGAAGCAGGTTTCCCGCGGAGCAGGGAGCCCGATGCGGGGCTCAATCCCAGGACCCTGGGAATCATGACCTGAGCTGAAGGTAGACGCTAAACTGCTGAGCCACCCAGGAGCCCCTTCCCTGCATTTTCTATCGCCCAGCTTTATTGCTGGCATTCCGTATCATGGTGCTTCTCTTTGGGATTTTAAGCTTCCCTGAAGAGTGCAGTGGTATCCCACTGAGGCATTAATTTGTGTTTCCCTAAGGATGAATGATACTGAGCATTTTCCTGAGCGTACTTGCCATCCATATATCTTTTCTGGTAAAGTGTGTGTTCAGATCTTTTAAAATTGGATGTCTGTTTCCTCACTGTGGAATTTAAAGAGCTCCTTACATACTGCAGAGAGGAATCTTTAATCAGATGTGTGATTCACAAAAATTTCCTTCCAGTCTCTGGCTTCGTTTTGAATCTTTTAAGGATGTCTTCAAATGTAAATGTTACTAATTTGAACAAAGTGAAATTAGATCTTATTTTTTCTCTTATGGATTATTTTTTGGTGTCACGTCTGAAAAATACTTGCCTAACATAAAGACACCAAGATTTTTACTCTGTTTTCTTCTAAAAAAGTTTTAAAGCCTTCCCTTTTATATTTAGATCTGTGATCAATTTTTAGTTCATTTTTAGGTGAAACGAAGATGTATATGCATATTTTTTGTATGTTCTATTGTCCCAACATCATTTGTTGAAAACAGTATCATTTCTGTACAATATTGGTGACTTTTCTCTTGGAGACTTTCTGGGCTTCACTGATAAAACTGACAGCAACAGAATTTTCCTACCTGTTTTCATTAATGTTTTTATTTTCACTGGTTTCTCTTCCATCCCCTGTTTTTAAAATTCCTCAAAATGCTGCAGCTAAGTTTGAAAACATTTTCCTTGTTGTTATTATGAGTCTGTTTCTACCGTAGATATTTCCTGCCTTTTCTATGAGATTCAGAGTGGAAGATACACCCCTGTGTTCAACTGCCATCTTGTTTCTTTTCAAGTGGGGCTTTTTATTTCATGGTATAACCCAAATGTCCCCTCTATTGTATTCCCTAACCTCAGTTGCTCACCACCCTATTTCCCCTGAACCAAATCCACCAACATGAAAGCATTAACAGGATATACATATTCTCATTAAAATATTCCCTCAACAGAGGTTGCACGATGAGGATACGGTGTCTTCCCAGAGTGGGACAAACATGTCTACGTATGTACAATGTCATCTTACAAAGCTTGCTTGGGCTCCCGTGGGGATATGCGTGGCCCATGGTGACATTTGTCAACCCCTTTTATTTTTCTGGCTAAAGTTTGTGGAACTCATACACAGACTATGGGGCATTTGATTCTTAGTTTTCCTTCTTTGAGTGCAATTGTGAAGGTTTTAAAAATAGATCTTGTTGAGTGACTTGGGGTAGACTTCTCTGACAGAGCTGATGTGCTAACATCTTAGTCCATAAGTCCTCACATTTAGGGGGAGAAGTAAGAAAAGTGTGTGACTCGGCACATATAGGATGGGGCCAGTGTTTTATTTCATGGTCTCTGTGATGCTGGGGAATTCATGCTGTAACCCACCCACTAAACAAGGCTCTGAATAGCAAATATAACCATGTATCTTTTATGACAATGGCTTGAGCTTGCAAGAGGGGAAAAGTCCACATTTATCCAAAATGTAAGCCAACTTCTATCGAACTTTTTACAACAACAGTTAAAAGCCAAATTAATTTATTTGATTTTCATGGTCTGCTGCCCATCCTCTGGCATAATTCCTTCCTTCTACAACACTGCAGGTAGAGAACGGAAAGGCTTTTTTTAAAAATCCCCAGGATGGATAAATGATGAAATGATTAAGAATGTCTGTATTCTTTAGAAACACACAGTTTGACTTAAAAAAGAAAATGAAGCAGAAGATACATGAATTCTAAATTGTCTTATTTTTTTCTTTTCCTTGCTTGCTTCTCTGAAAGACAAGGCTGCCCACGTCTGACTCAGTTCCTTCCTAATGGCTTTCGTTTCTGTGAGTGTTAGTACCCACGTGAGGGGAACAAAGGAAACCCTCTGTTTCCTTGATTGAGATGTAAGTCACACAACATCACTTCCCCCACTTAACGTCTATTTCTCAGTGTCCTCAGAGTGCTCACTATACCTCCAGCACCACTACCCGATTCCAGTTCATTTCGCCACCCCAAAAACGTACGCGAACTCCCCAACCTCCGCCGACCAGTGATCTGCGTTCTGTCCCTATGGATTTGACTGTTCAGGACATTTCATATACATGGGATCATAAAATCGGTGGCTTTTTTGTCTTGATTCTTTCACTTGGCGTATTGTTTTGAGTTCATGTGTTATAGCTAAGGTTCAGCATGTAGCAATATTCCATTTGTTTTTACGATGAATTAAATTTCTTCATATGGACATATGCCATATTTCTGGTTTATTCCTTCATCAGCTCATGGACATTTCGATGATTTCTATTTTATAGATGCTACAATAACGTTGCTATGAATATTCACGTACAAATTTTTGTGTGAATATATGTTTTCAATTTTCTTGGGCATGTAACTAGGAGTAGAATTGCTGGATCATACAGTAATTGTATATTTAACTTTTTGAGGAAATTTCCACAGTGACTGTGCATTTTCCATCCCCACCCCCAACATATGAGAATCTCGTTTTGGTCAACATCCTAAAAGAAACTTGCAAGTTTCTTTTCTTTTTTTACTATTATACCAATCTTTGTGGATGTGAGGTGACGTCTCATTGTGGTTTCGATTTGCATTTCCCCGAGGACTAATGATTTTGAGCATCTTCTCGTGGATTCTTTCTCATTTGCAGATCTCCTTCAGAGACATATTTATTTAAATGTTTTGCCCGTGTTTTTAGTTGGGCCATTTGTCTTTTATTGTTAAATTTCAAGAGCTCTTTATATATTCTGGACACGAAACCCTTATCAGAAATATGATTTGCAAGTATCTCTCCCATTCTCTGGGTTGTCTTTTCACCCACATTTAAAAATTGCCTTATTTTCTAAGAACCATGATTTAAATATAACTGTTTTCTTCCTCCTAACATATGGCTTGGGTTATTTTTGGCTTTCCATCAACTAATCAAGTTCTGGGTAAGAATTTTTTATTTTTCCTGCATTACATGAAAGGATTTTTTTCATAAGACATGAGGACAGCAACCAGCTCCTTAAACGGCACCCTGCTTCTCTGCCATAGTCAGTGCCTGGGGCCTCCACACCCTGGAGGCTCTTCCACTGTCCTTGGGCTTCGCCCAACCCTAGAGATGCCTCCCTACGGGACACATTCACCTTTCCTAACCACACCACCATTTGCAATCTTCATTCGCCTTCGGTGCTTTTCCCCAGGATGTCCCAGCTCTCGGATCCCTCCCAGTCCCATAACCATGGATTCCTCCACCAGCACTACCAACATCGCCACTTCCCATCTTCATTCTGGAAACCCCTTACGGCCAAGAGGAAACTCTCCAGTATACTAGCAGCGAACGCGTGATATGATCACCTTATGCAGGTATTTTCAACTGGTAGCCTTAATAAAGGCAGATGAGTAAAAACACGAAGTGCTGTATTTTCTCCAGAGAAGTTCAGTGTCCTCCGTGGCATTTGAAGCAATTGTAATGTTGACATAATCATCAATCACAGGATGTTGCAAAAGTAGTGGAGTTGTCCCTGTGCCCTTTGTCCAGGTTTCTCCAATGGTAACATCTTAACATCTTGCATAGGTGGGCGTAATATCAGACTAGGACATTGACACTGGAACCATGCACAGACATCATGCAGATTTACCATTGTTGTGTGTGTGTGTGTGTGTGTGTGTGTGTGTGTGTGTGGTTCTGTACCATTTTATTGCATGTGTACATTTGTGTAACCACCACCATATTCAAGATAAAAAACTGCTCCATAATCACAAGAAGTCCCCGCGTGCTACAGCTAACCCCTGGCACCACTCACCTGCTCTCCGCCTCTATAATTTGGTGACTGTAGCAACAGTGTGTTCTTTTGCACGGCTGTTGTTTACTCATTCGCCTTCTATAGGACATTTGCCTTTTCTCCAGTTTTTGACCATTAAGTATAAAATTGCTATGAACATTTGTATACAGTTTCTTGTGTAGACATAAGTTTTCATCTCTCTGAGATAAATGCCCACAAGTGTGATCTCTGTATCATATGCTAAGTCTATGTTTGGTTTCTTAAAGACACTGTCTAACTTTCTTCCAGACTGGTACATTAGGAAGATTCCAGTTTCTCTGCATCCTTACCAGCAGTTCCTGGTGCCACTGTTTTTTTTTTCTTTTTTTTAACCATTCTCATAGATACGTATTGATATCATGTTGGGCTTTTAATTTGCACTTCTTAGCGATTCATGTGTTCAAATACCTTTCCATGTGTTTATCGGCATCCATCTTTGGCAAAATATCTATTCATGACTTTTGCCAATTTCATATATTTTTCCCATTGTATTTTGAGAATTTTTTTTATATATTCACACTTGAGTCCTTTGTTAGGGGTGTTGCTTGCAATTACATTCTCTAATCTGTAGATTTTCTTTTCGTCTTCTTAACAAGGTCTTTTGCACACCTAAATGTTTTCATTTGATGAAGTTCAACATTATCAATTCTTTTTTTCTTTTATAGATTTTACTCTCAGCATCATATCTAAGAGCTCTTCACCTATCCACAGGCCCTGAAGATTTTTTTCTACATATTCTTCTAAAAGTTTAATGTTTTCATGTTTTACATTGGCAACGTGACCTATCTGACTACCCGTTTCTGTTCATTTTATACGTGATATCTGGGGTGTGAGTTGTTCATGGCAGTAGGAATAGGGAGAAATGCACCTCTCCATCTCACCTTTAACTGGAAGTCTTCCTCCATGACATTCTGTAAATAGACTTTAATTTTTAGAACAGGTTTAGATTTATAGAAAAATTAAGATGGTAGTACAGAGAGTTCCAGTATATCCCACTTACTTTCTTCTGTTAACATCCTCCACTACCATCCATTTGTTATAATTGGTTATATAGCTACACATGTTACCATGAGCGAACCAGTATTGGTACATTATTAACTAAAGTTCGCACTTCATTCAGACTTCCTGGTTTTCACCTGATGTCCTTCTTCTGTTCCAGGACCCCATGCCACGAGCAGTTGTCATGTTTACCTAGGCTCCTCTTGGCTGTGACACTTTCTCAAACATTTTATGTCTCCGATGACCTTGAAAGCTTTGAAGAAAACTGGTCAGCAGCTTTGTAGACCACGCCTCTGTTGGAATTCTTCTGATGCTTCTCTTGAGGAAAAGCATGGAGGAAGAAGATCACAGAAATAAAGCACCATTCTTGTCTTGTGTCAAGGTTTATGCCATCACATGGTTTAGCGTTCCTGATGCTGACCTTGGTCCCTGGCTGACGTCATGCTGTCAAGCTTCTCCACTGTAAAGTTACCCCCCAACCTTCCCCTACCTTACTCTTTGGAAAGAAGTCACTCTGTTCAGCCCCTATTCAAGGAGCTGGCAATTACACCTCCTTTCATCGAGTGGACAGGATAATCCTAAATTATCTGTTTGAAATTCTTTTTCATGTGGGCTGTGTCTATTCCCCGCATTTATTTAGATCAGTATGAAGTCTCGGATATCTATTTTATATATATTTTTATAATCCAAAGCTTCTTACTTTTTTGTGTGTGCTCAAACCACGCCAGCTATGGCCCCTGGCAGTCTCTCCGGCTGACTCCAGTGCCACGGGAGCGTGCCTCCATCAGTTAGCACTCCCTTATTTTCTGACACTATGACATTCTCTAGGTTCCCCTGGTGTATTTTGTGACCCAGTCCTAGAACCAGCCATTTCTTTGAGGCTCCCTGGTTCATTTTAGTGGAGAACGGTGTTAGATGCATGTACTTACTGGGGTATTATTTCTTTTAGGCTGTATAAGCAGACAGAGCAAGTAAATACATATATGCATATTAATGTGTGGACTTACACGCATCTACTGGTATTTCTATATGTAAAGCTCTGTATTCATATTAACTAACATGGGTTCTACTGGTTTCCAATGCTATCCATTATGACGTGGATCACTGTAGTCTCCTCCCCTTGCTTATCCGTAAACTCCACCTCTAACAGTGAGAAACCCCGCTCCCACTACGTCTCAGGCATGCACTTAATTGTTCAAACCCAGGATGAACACAAAGCAGCATTGGTGAAACATTGTCAGCCCCGACCCTTGGGGGAGGCAATGCAATCCACAGAGCACAGTGCTTACTTTGGCTTTAGTCTCACAGACTGCTCATTCCCAAACCTACGGACTTCAACATTTTTTGCCCTGAGTCCCTTCAGTGAGGTTGTTTCATACATTTGTCATGCACAGTCTGCATTCCACCCTGAGATCCTTAGCTTTCTAAGTGAAGTTTAAATTTCCATAGATTGAGGTTCATTGTATGTTCTGTAAAGTTCTGTGGGTTTCCACAAATGTTAAATGCCATGTGCTTGCCATTATGGTATCATACAGAACAGTTCTGACCCCTAAAAACTCTCTGTGTTTCACCTAGTCAAACCTCCCTTCCCCCTATGAACCCCTGACAACCACGGATCTTTTTTCCTATCTCTATAGTTTTGCGTGTTCCAGAATACATATAATTGGGGTACTACACTATGTAGCCTTTTCAGACTGTCTTCTTTCACTTGATGTATTAACATTTTAAATTAAAGGGAAATACCTAATTTGTGATCACTGAGAAAGTAAGAAATAAAACAATGTGTGCCTGTATTGTTTTTGTTTTGTTTTGAGAGAGGGGGCGCATACACGTGCACATGGTCGGGGGTGAAGGGACAGACGGAGAGGGAGGGAAAGAATCTTAAGCAGGTTCCAAGCCCAGCACAGAGCCCGATGCGAGGCTCGATTTCATGACCCTGAGATCATGACCTGAACTGAAATCAAGAGTCAGACGCTTAGCCCGCTGAGCCAGCCTGGGGCGCCACTGCATGCCTATATTCTAAGGATAGGCATTTCCTAGCATGAAATATAAGTGTATTTTAAAGTGTATTTGTGAATCTGCTCTTTAAAATCTGTATTTGAGGGGCGCCTGGGGGGCTCAGTCGTTAAGCGTCTGCCTTCGGCTCAGGTCATGGTCCCGGGGTCCTGGGATCGAGCCCCGCGTCGGGCTCCCTGCTCGGCGGGAAGCCTGCTTCTCCCTCTCCCACTCCCCCTGCTTGTGTTCCTGCTCTCGCTGTGTCTCTCTCTCTCAAATAAATAAATAAAATCTTTAAAAAATAAAATAAAACCTGGATTTGATTTCAGTTCCCAGGGGCAGGTGTCAAACATAAACAGTATCTACTGAGTTGACACACTAGGACGTGCACCAAATACAAACATTTAAGTGGAAATAACCCTTAAGCCTTTACTGGGAGTATTGGATTGTCTGTTTTCCAGAACTCTCCTTCTCAAGTAAGCTGTGGGGTACCTGCACTAACACTGATGAGTCTTTGCTCCTTGTTTCTTGCCAAACAACCTCAGTGAGCCAATGGTAAATTACAGAGAACACGCAATGGTTGATCAGGGTTCGGGCTGAGGGAACATGGAACAAGGAGGGAATTTCACTCTTTGTCCCAGCCAAGGCACTGGCGCAACGTGCTGGGAGACCCCGAGTTCCAGCCCCCTCCCCAACCAGCCATCTGAACCATGGTGTGGTCTCTTGAAACAAATCTCACACTACTGTCCCCATTTCCACTTTTCCTCACCCACAATCTCCTTCGAATGTGGCCACCAGTCTAACCCTACTAAAAAGTAAGGTAGTTTTCTGGCTTTAAGTCCTTGATGGCCTCCCCAAACTCCTCACCATTGTTGGAGACTTCATCTGGAACGGACACTATCTGCTCCTCCAGTCCCTTCTCCCCACACTCAGACCCTCTTTCAGGGCCACAGCACTCCATTGATCCTGTTGGAGCTTGTGCTTCGTCCCACACGCATTTCTGACCCCAGCCCTTCACTGGCTCTGTGACCTCGGTCCCACGGCTCTTCCTGAGATCCCCAGGACTTCTTCCCGCGAGTCAGGACTCTCGGACACACTCTCCCCGATCCCCAGCACGGAGGTCACTATTTTGTTATATTTTCATCATAGTACGGCAGTATCTGCGTTGTTTACCTAAGTCTGTTCTGTCTGACCCTCCCACCCCCACATCAGGATGCGTGCTCTGTGAGACACGTGACCTTTTGTGTTGCTTGCTGCTGTACCCCAATACCTAGAAGATGACAAGCCTTCAACAAATATTTGTTGAATGGATACACAAATGAATGGCTGATCCCACGCTGCTAATATTAGAATGGTTTCCTGGCAACAGTCACAGGCTTGTGCCCTCAACCCTGCATTTCACCATGACCTCCAGGAAAGTATAGTGCTTCTATACTATGGTCCTGGATTAATCACTGCATTGTAAAACCAACAGGGAGAACACCCACTTTTTTACCTACACAGCCTAAACATAGCTTGTTAAAACTAAACAAAACCCTCATTTACTACACACATCTTATTTTCACTGTGAGATTTAAGATGTCAAGTCATCTGCTGGGGGAAGCACATCACCCCGAAATGTATTCTTTAATATTTATTATCAAGACCCAGGAAATATTTAACTGCCAGATAAAGATCTCACAGGAAAAAAAACTCATAAATGTAATAAAAATTACTTTTTGAGCATTGACACCACAGAACTATTATATCTGATTTTCACTCAGTCCAAAAAATATTATCCAGGGATACACTGGATAATATTGGTCTCAAGTTTTTATCTTGTTGCAAGGAAAACAATTTAAATTGCCCAAGAGTGGGGTGCCTGGGTGGCTCAGTCGTTAAGCGTCTGCCTTCGGCTCAGGTCGTGGTCCCAGGGTCCTGGGATCGAGCCCCGCATCGGGCTCCCCGCTCAGTGGGAAGCCTGCTTCTCCCTCTCCCACTCCCCCTGCTTGTGTTCCCTCTCCCGCTGTCTCTCTCTCTCTGTCAAATAAATAAATAAAATCTTAATAAATAAATAAATAAATAAATAAATTGCCCAGGAGTACCATAGCACCATGAAGAATATAAAGGAAGCCGTGTACAAAGACGTTGTTGGGGTAAACTGTTGTCTGCCTCAAGCAGTTGTTATGCTTTGATGGGCCTTCATGATTCAGCCGAGGAGACAATGAGCTGCGTTGCTTGCATCCACCTAGATGGTGATGCTGGGAAGGTCATGGTTCTGTTTGGCTAGGAAGTTGAAATATGTTTTTGCTTTTAAATGTAAAATTCCACACTCATTCCATTTAAATAACGAGCTGCCATTTTTTGAGCACCTCCCAAGTGCTGCCAATCACCTAACCCTCAATGCTGTGAGGCAGGTGTTTTTATACCCATCTCACCCAAGAGACTTAAAACAACCAAACAGCCTCTCCCCGAGTCACACAGCTAGAGCTAGCCAGAGGGCCCAATGCCCATTATGCATTCGAACTAAGGACTCTCGGACTCCAAGTAAGTCAGGTCCAAACTCTACCCAACAGTTTGATTCTCCCTCATGGAACTGGGGACATATTGGGACTAGAGAAGGATTAAATTGCTTAAAAACCTTTATGCATTTTAATTCTTTTTCATTAAAATTGAAACTCTTTGCTCTATTTAAACACACACATGGCTGACGATACGTGTTTCAAAGTCTGGGAAGTTCAGACTAGTCTATCACCACCTTGTTACATAACGAGGGTGAAACATCGTGTTTCCCATTAAAAGACAAAAACCAAAACACAATTAATTAATTTGTAGGTCAAATGATAAATTCTCTTCCTCTGTTTACTCTTGCTTAAAGAAAAGCGCACAGAGATTCCAGGAGCAGAGCAAGATTGGTGGAGATCCAGAAGGGGCTTCTCGGTGGGCTTCCAAGATGGATGAGGCAGGTTCCCATGGTTTTCCTCTCCTTTTCCCCAGGGTTATAACTACAGCTGCCCTGTGCTTGTGAGTGTTTGTGAGCATTACGTATGGAATCCAAGCCGGGAAGAAAGGAGATAGTTTATTGGTGGTCGCTGGGCCACAGTCAGGTGTAAGACATCCCTGGGGCAGACGAGAATGTCATGACCTTGAAGGTCAGTAGTAAAACGAGAACACGCGGGGCTGCCTAGTGCAGTGGAAGACAGTGAACTGTGAACGGGGGCATCCGCGCGGGGCCTCCCGCTGAAGCCCGCGCCCAGCAAACATCTGCGGGCTGCTGGAGACAACCCCTCGGGACGCGCGGGGTGCGGAAGGGGCTGCAATGCACAGGTGCAGCTCCCGAGGCTCGATGGCCGCCCGCACAGCGCGGGGTCGGGTGGTAGCAGGCCCATCTTGGAATCAGAGAATCCAGGCAAAAGTCCTGGCCCAGTTATGGGGCAGCTGTGTCGTCTCAAGAAAGTTTCTGAGCTTCCCCCAGCCTCTATGAGATAAAAAACACTCACCTTACAGAGTTCCCGTCGAGATGAAGAATAACAAAGTAAACTTATGGCCAATACATCCATGTTATTATTCAGTAAGAACCCCTAAGAAACCATTTCTAAATCTAATCTAAAATCCCTGATGCTCCTGGTCAAATTCACATTCCCTCCTGGTAGGCTCTGTAATATTTCTCATCATCTCCCTCTGCTTGCACACCTTCCAGAGGCTTCTGTTCTCTCGTCTAAGCAATCCCAGTTGCTTAAACCTTCCCAACAGGGCCTTATTTTAATTAACCACTCATAATTAAAATCAAATTTGATGAACTGGAACGAAAGCTTTTAGTTGGCTTCTCTTTAGCACCTTGCACACTTAATTTAGTAAAACTCAGAAAACGGAAAGAGTATAATTTCCTATAATTAAAAGGAGGCTGAAAAATGTTGTCTTTTTTTTTTTGGACAAGAAAGATGTGCTCTTAATTCTTCATTATTTTTGTATGGGTGTATCTGAACCTAATTGTAAAAAGTAAAATCTCTTTGGTGTTTAAATCAGCTCAGGTTGTCAAGAGATTTATTGAGACAGTTGCAAAGAAAGTATTTTAGAATATATTTGTGGCATAAACTATATTTTCTTAGTAGTGGAGAAATTATCATTTATACAAAACTATGCACTTCATTTTTAAACTTACATTATCATAGAAACAAATATGTGTGTCTATGAAAATTCTGAAAAGCAGATTATCATGCACTTAAAGATATAAAAGCTCAAATATCTGAAAGAAAGAAATAAAGTTTACAAAGTGTATTTTTTTACCATCTTAACCATTTTAAGTGGACAGTACAATACTATTAACTACATGCACATTGGTGTGCAACAGATCTCTAGAACTTTTTCACCTTTCAAAATAGAACTCTATTCATTGAAAAACAACTCTGCTTCTTCTCCTCTCCCTAGGAACCCCCATACAACCAATGTTTGACTTTGATTCTAAGAATTTGAATACTTTAGATATCTCATATAAGTGCAGTAATAGTCTTTGTCTGTTTGTGATTTACTTACTTCACTTAGCACAGTGTCCTTCAAGATTTACTCATTCTGTAGCACTGAGAGCATTTCTATCTTTTTTAAAACATTTTATTTATTTATGAGAGAGAGAAAGAGAGAGAGAGGGTGCACGAACAGGGGTTGGGGCAGAGGGAGAAGCAGACTCCTCGCTGAGCAGGGAGCCCCAAGTGGGGTTGGATCCCAGGATCCTGAGATCATGACCTGAGCCGAAGGCAGATGCTTAACCGACTGAGCCACCCAGGTGCCCCAGCATTTCTCTCTTTTTCAAGACTGAATAATA